AGCGGGGTCTCTGCCATGGCTCTCTATGTGGGATCTCTTTCTCTTCTAAAATTATTTCTTTTGGTAATGGGGTGATGTCCCAACATTAGTAACAAAGAAACAGAATTTCCGGAGGACGAGGCCCAGAAATCAGGATTTTACAAAGATTCCCAGGTGATTCTAATGTGCAGCCAAGGTTGAGAACCACTGATGTAGAGATTCCCAGCTTCAGCAGCATCAGGTGTGTCCTTCCTGGTACGGCCAGTGATGGTGGGCCGAGCACACCCACACAGCCATTCATTGCTGGCGAGGATAACTTTTAAAATCAGCTCCTATTTTACTTAACTTCTTGTGGAACTGCTGCGAACAGATAACTGCGTATCGTCTCCATCTCGCTATACATTAAACATCAGCATACATAGCTAAGCCATTGCTGTATTGAATCCTACAACTTTTTATATCTCGAAATGTGTAGGATATTTTTTGCAATCTGTATGTTGGTCATCTGAGCTTAAGAAACCCCCCCCCCCAGTCCCCCTAAAAAAGAAGGAATTTAAGATGGTTAGGTACTGATGGAGATGGTCTGCTTCCTACAGACTCAGGCTGCGGCACTTCCCTTGCGGAGTGTAGCTCTGAGGCCGCGTTGTGGGAGATCCCACTAGGGTTGGGATTATGCCCCCCGCCCACTATGACCTCATCCATCTCCCCCATGATGGTAAACATTTCAGAAGTATTCTGTGATACAAAATTCAACTTCTAATTTCTCTTAAGTCCTGTCCATTAGGGCTGCCGCTTTTTTAGCAGGTGTATTTGAGCTCGTGTGTCTGCACCATCGCTATCCACTGAACTAGGAGGTTAAAATGAGATCATCAGACCCACCAGGGCCCACAGTAGAGAGACCGAGCTCCTCTACTTTCCGCTTGGACGCCTACACCTGCTGTTTCCTGCCTGCCTGCCCGGAGACAGCCTTGCCGGGCCTCCCGAGCCACTGTCTCGGAAACACTTCCCGTGTTAACCATGGCTTTCCAGCCATCGCCTGCAAAATGCAAGCTGAGCTGGTTGCATTTGGAACTAACGCAGTCAAATATGCTTTTTTCCCCTTAAATTTCATGTACAAAAAAACTTGAATGCATTGCCCTTTCCTTTTGTAGATACACAAAATTATCTGATCCTGCCAACTGGCTAAGGATAGATCCTGTGAACGGGCAGATAACGACAATTGCCGTGTTGGACAGAGAATCCCCCCACGTGAAGAACAACATATACAACGCCACCTTCCTTGCTTCCGACAACGGTACGTACTTAAGTCCAGTCACTGTGTCGTCCTGCATGTCGTCAAAGAGAGGAGAGCGTATCATGAATGTGTCCTCAGGACGTGGGGTTTTCTACCAAACCCAATTGTCTAGAAAACTCTCAGGCCCCACCTCCTGCGTTCCATTTCCACGGGGGTGTCTGTGACATACGCCGTGTGCTTCGTGATGTCCACACCCTCTCTGGCGGCCTCACGTGGTGGTGACAGGCCTGTGGGGTTTCTGTCCTGCTGCCCGTCGATGCCTTGTCACTGCAGGTGGAGTCCGCCCTCCGTGGCCCGGACACCGTGGTTTCTGGGGTGGTCTCTGTATGTTTCTGCTGCCGTCCATCTGTCTGTCTGTCTCTGGCATTTTTCCTCTTTCTAATTCTCTGCCTCTAGTCTGCCATGAGCGAGGAAACTCTTAATTTGGTGCATCCGTTGGGCTAATTGAGTACGTGAGCTTTAGTGTATTGGTTTTAGAACCTTTTGTATGGTCTTTCTTTCTGGGTCTTTGCTAGATTCTAAATAGTTGAGATGAACAGATAGCGCGTTTTTAATGCATAAGATGAAAGGGACTTCTGTGAACCTGGTGCTGACGGAACTGTTCACCGTCGGTGTGTGCGTTTCTTCTTTAAGGAATCCCGCCGATGAGCGGGACGGGCACGCTGCAGATCTACCTGCTGGACATCAACGACAACGCCCCGCAGGTGCTGCCTCAGGAGGCGGAGACGTGCGAGACGCCGGCCCCCAACGCCATCAACATCACGGCCCTGGACTATGACATCGACCCCAACGCCGGGCCCTTTGCTTTTGACCTGCCTCTGTCTCCCGTGAACATTAAGAGGAACTGGACCATCACGCGGCTTAATGGTAAGAACCGGTTAGTTGTTTGAATACACGTGCACTGGAGAGGGTTGGAAACCTGGTACGATAAGGCCACGTTAGGTGCTTTATAATCTTCTCATTAAATATTGTAAATATTTAAAGTGACAGCAGGCTTAAGTCAGCAAAGCCCTTCAAGCCAGCAAGCCTTCCCCATGCAGCATGCTGTGATCTGCTTCCTCTGTACCAGCGGTTCTCAACCTTCCTAACGCCGCGACCCTTTCATACAGCTCCTCATGCTGTGATGACCCCCAATTTCATTGTTACAAATTGAACATAATGAAAGCATAGTGATTAATCACAAAACAATATGTAATTATAAAAGTGTTTTCCAATGGTCTTAGGCGGCCCCTGTGAAAGGGTCGTTCGACCCCCAAAGGGGACACGACCCACAGGTTGAGAACCGCCGCTCTAACCATCAGGGAGGACAGGCCTTCTGGAAGATGTCAGGCGTCTCTCGTCGTCTCAGGTAGTCACTCTCCCTCGGTATTTTTTTTAACGCAGGTGATTTCGCTCAGCTTAATTTGAAGTTAAAATTCCTTGAGGCGGGGATCTACGACGTCCCCATCATCATCACCGACTCGGGGAACCCCCCCAAGTCCAACAGCTCCGTGCTCCGCGTGAAGGTGTGCCAGTGCGACTCCAACGGCGACTGCACGGACGTGGACCGCATCGTGGGCGCCGGGCTGGGCACCGGGGCCATCGTCGCCATCCTGCTCTGCATCATCATCCTGCTCAGTGAGGACTCGCCTGGCTCCTAGATTTTCATTTTAGTTCTTTTGGCTTCTAGGATGTTGAGCAAAGTAACGTGTTGATGTTGCCTTTCCAAGGAGAGGAGCCTCAGAGCTCCGGCCGGCCCAGAGCATCTTCTCCGCAGTCACAGTGCGGACAGCCAGTCCCCTCTGCAAGGAGAGGTACCCTGGCTCCGTCCGGCTTTGACGTGTTGGCGGCCAGCCCAGCCAGGGCACCTCTTCCAGGCCTGGCTGCTGGTTTCTTTCTTTTAAAAAAAATATATATTTGTATTGATTTCAGAGAGGAAGGGAGAGGGTGAGAGAGAGAGAGAAGCATCAGTGATGAGAGAGCTTCATGGCTCGGCTGCCTCCTGCACGCCCCCTACTGGGGATCGGGTCCACAACCCGGGCCTGTGCCCTGACCAGGAATTGAACCGGGACCTCCTGGTTCATAGGTCGAAGCTCAACCACGAGCCACGCTGGCCAGGCTGTTGGCGTTTTCTGATGCCAATGCTTGAGAGCTGTGGCAAACTCCTTTTTTTATATAGAAAAATGTTAGTCCTTAGTTCGAGCACTTACCTTATGATTTGAGTGTGAATTTATGGCCGGCACTTGGTGGTTTAGGGAAATAAGTTTATTGCTTTTCTTTCCTTCCTTTCCTTGGTATGATGCGCAGTCAGCAGCCTGCTCCGGCCCTGCGGGGATAAAGGGCTTTCTTTCTGAAGGGCCTCGTAAAATAGTGAGAAATCGTACTTCGTGTGGCACATTTGATAACAGACATGATGACACAGCTCAGGAAGTTCTCTGTCTTTAGAGCACGTCCAGGTTAAGTGATATAGCTCCTTTTAAGGTACTCCCCAATCCTTGGTTCAGTGGAGCGCAAGGAATGAACCCCTGGAAAGACTTTCGGAACCACCTCTGAGCTTGCAGGTTAAAGGCAGGGATGACGTGGCTGGGCCCGCGCATTATTGTCGCGTGGCAGCAGGACCTCGTGGATTGTGGGACCATGCTGTGCACCAATCGCTTTCTTGAAAATGTTGGCCGTTTCTTTACGTTTCGCCATCTGCAAGGTCCCGGTCCTTTAGAACCTTGTCCCTTTATTTTGCACAAATACCGTAGGAGCCTGAGCAGTTCTCACCTCCTGGTGGAGGCTCCTTTGCCTGCAGTTGGGGACCTGCGAGCTCTCCTCACAACCACTCGCTGGAGTCAGCCCTGGACCAATGGCAGAGGCGGTCATGCGTCTGGCTTTAGAGGGAGGCTATTCACCTTTATGGCCAATAGTAAAAATGTGCTCAGATAGGGCCATTAAATCTCCCGCTCGGGTGTGAGCCGATCTCCCGATTTGAGAGAGAGAACGCGTTACTACCTGTCACTGAGGGGTGCCTGGCGATTTCGGCCGCAGAGTGGGGTATACGCCAGCCTCGTCGAGAAAGACTTAGCTGTGCTGGATCGTGGCGGGAAGAAGTGAGGAGAGCATGGGGAGGAAATGAGTCGGTGCCGATTTTAACACCAGCCCCTGGCAAATGGGTGCGACCAAGCCTGGCCCAGAGTGTGACTCGGGAAAGCCTAAGGTTATTTCCGTGCCAGGCCGATGCCCTCGCCTTCCTCGCTGAGACCTGTGGCCTAGTAAGAAAGCGCCAGCCTTCGGAGGTCAGACCCCCTCGAGGTTCCACTGCTGGCCCAGTTCCCCCCCGGCCCCCGGGTCCACGTGGCAAGCACTTCTCTGGGGTCTGGGGAGTGTAATGACCAGCACCTTGAATGATTAAATAACAAGTGACAGTCTAACTTACTGCTCTGCACTGTTTTCGAATTTGCAAACCATTTTATTTTTTATTTTAAAATATATTTTTATTGATTTCAGAGAAAAAGGGAGAGGGAGAGGGAGAGAGAGATAGAAACATCAATGATAAAAGAGAATCATTGATCAGCTGCCTCCTGTACATCCCACACTGGGGATCGAGCCAGCAACCTGGGCATGTGCCCTGACTAGGAATCGAACTGTGACCTCCTGGTTCATAGGTTGACGCTCAACCACTGAGCCACGCCGGCCGGGCACACATCATTTTATTAAGATTAGTGTCCTCCAGGAAGACAAAGTAAAAGATGGCAGTGGTCGTCGGCCCCAGGCCTAGGCCATGGGACTGAGCACAGGCATTCGCCCAGTGAGGTCACGGGGCACCGGGTGTGGGACCCAGGTCTTCACCCTCTGAACCCAGAGGCAGGGTCCTTCCTGCTTTGATCTCATCTCCTAATGCGAGGCCAGAAAAAGGCCGTAAAGAAGAAGGCGTGTTGCAAGCTTTCCAGCCACAGAAGGGTACATCGCCGGTGTGGCCGACTGTGGCTGGTGGACGGAGTGTCAGACATGACAGTGTTCCGCCTTTCCCTCTTCTCCCCACGCTAGTCCTCGTCCTGATGTTCGTGGTGTGGATGAAGCGCCGGGACAAGGAACGCCAGGCCAAGCAGCTCCTGATCGACCCCGAGGATGACGTCAGAGATAACATCCTGAAGTACGACGAGGAGGGCGGAGGCGAAGAAGACCAGGTGAGCCACGTTCTAAGTCTGAAATGAACGTCAATGACCGTGTGCTCTACCTTCCTGATCCCGCGACCCTTTAATACAGTTCTTCATGTTGTGGTGACCCCCAACCATAAAATCATTTTCGTGGCTACTTCATCACTGTAATGTTGCTACTGTTATGATTCGTCATGTAAATATCTGATGTGCAGGATGTATTCTCATTGTTACAAATTGAACATAATGAAAGCATCGTGATTAATCACAAAAACAATATGTAATTATAGATGTGTTTTCCAATGGTCTTAGGCGACCCCTGTGAAAGGGTCGTTCACGACCCCCAAATGGGTCGCGAGCGACCCGACAGGTTGAGAACCGCTGCTCTAAATGATAGGACAAATGGTAAGGCATGCGGTGAGATAACAGCACCAGATGTTGTTTCTGTTGTCACATTATTAACCACTCGGTGAACTTTCCCTACACGTGCTGCACGCTTCTGGAGTTCTTTTTCAAAGTGTCCAGTGTCATATTTATTTCGCAAGAAAATCATTAACATTGTTTTAAGAAGCCTAGGTGGCAACCCAATTCTAGTTATATTTGTACTAATAAAGTAATTTTATTTATAGTTTGTCTTCATTGGATATTCAAAATATTAAGTAAAAGTAGTTTCTTATTTTTGGGTTTAGATATTTATAGGGTGTACCAAAAGTGTATACATACACTGTGAATAATTATAAAGGCAGTGTTTATTAAAATACATTTCATTTTCAAAATTGAGCTATTGGCTGTTAAAGTGTGTATACATTTCTGGGGGACACCCTCTGTGTGTGTGTGTGTGTGTATCTGTATATACATATATAAATATAGAAGAGAAAGCAGTAGAGTGTTCATTTTACACATATTTTCCAAGCAAATTTGACATTCCAGGTGCCATTACAATCATTGGGGATACAGAGGTGGGCAGAACCCACAGATATCTGCCCTCCAGAGCCTTATATTCTTGAGAAATATTTGAAGTTGGAGACGAAGTGTAGTTCATCTTTATGTCCGTCGTGTCTGAATGGTACCTAGCTTACTGTTGCTCAGTAAAGGTTGAAGTTCCCATCTGGCTGTAACGTGACGTGAGCGCCTGCAGCGCGGTGCACACAAGGAAGAGTGTTCTTGTTGAAGGACGAGAGTGACCAGCAGGCAGGACACAGAACTTCATCTGCTTGGAGGCAGCACTGTAGATATCATACTAGCTAACGTTTCCGAGGTCTGTTCTACATGCCAGGCATCCCGCTGCGTGCGTTAAATGTTATCGCCTAAATCTTGTGCTATTTTGAAACCTGTGATGTTGCGTGTGGGTCCCCATTCCCATGGTAGAGAACAGCCAAAGGGTGTTTGAGTTCTGGGAACTCACACAACCGGGAAGTGGTAGATGCAGGCCTCCACCCCAGGCCTGTCCTGTGTGACAGCGGAAACTGACTACTCGGAGGCAGTGCGACTAAAAGTGACTTGGGTGACAGGCATGCAGTCCGCGAGAAATCACGCATAGCAGATGCATCTGATAGCTATGTGCTGCTCACTGACTAAT